CTCCAGGAGGGGCCTGGTGCTGAAGGATCTCAAGACACACAGTTTTTGCAGCTTCGTTTTAGGGTTTAGCTGTTAGGGTTTAGGGTTTAGTTTTAGGGTTTAGGGTTTAGGGTTTAGGTTCAGGGTTCAAACCGTTGGCTGCGGATTTTGCTGAGACCCCTGAACACCGAACCCCAAGCCTTCGGCTGTTTCGAAACGAAGCCCTGAACCCCGAAACTTCACACCGACAGCCTGGTTTAGGGTTTAGGGTTTAGGGCCTGACAACTGCGACAGGGCCGGGTTATTTTACTTATCATAGTCTTATGGCATCTCTTCATAGTACATGTTCCACTTCGGAATGCAATCGACATCGTAAAATCACCCCCCCTATGCTAATCTAGTTGTGAAGGCTGCTGAATTGTATCATCCAGATCCTGGAAACCCGTAGAAAACTGTCAAGCCTGCTGTAAACTCCCTGCAACAACCGTGCTGAAACCCTTACAACCACAAGCTCTGATTTAGGAGTTCCTTTTTGGGGTTCATATTTGGGAGTTTCCGAAAAAATAGGGGACCCTAATCTAGTATCTTAAATAGTAGGATCCTTATTATAAGGACCCCCCAAATCAAATAAGGCACCCCTAATTCTCGGAAGTTCATATTTAGAATTCTATAGTGTAACTAATCCCCAAAAGGACATGTGATCAGACAAACAGGAAGAATCGGACAGGACTGGAGCAGCTAACACCTATTTGGACTCCTTTGACCTACTGAGACTTTCATAAGAGCTCTACCCGAACCTCTAAAGCCCAAACTCCTGAGGCGCTGAACTCAATCCCTCAACCTGTAAACCGTGAACCCCGAACCCTAAACCCTAAGCCGCGACCCCTACATCTTTACAGGTGAGCGCACCTCGGAGCTCTTCCAGCAGTTGAAGCTCATGGCTCCGTCTTTCCAGGACTGCTTCTACTGTTTCGACGCTGAGAGGGCCCGATAGGCGTTGTAAATGCCCATAGGTTTCCTTTCGGGGATCAATTACCTTATAGCATTCTAAATATGAACCTCAAAAAGGAACTACTATGGGGCCTATGGGTAGGCTCTAAGGTTGGTTCTGGAACCTGCATTGTTTTGTAGGTTGGGGATTGGGGATGAATTACGGGCTATAGTTACTATAGTTGTTGCAACATGGTTGGAAGGAGTTAAAGGGTATGGGATCCAGGTGTCAGGTATATATGATTGCAGCCTCAGGGCCGTAAATTTTCCACCTTGCAAACTGGTTTTGACGGCTCTACCCGGTACCCCCTTCTCAAATATGACACTACAAGGTCATGAAGAGTCGAACCTTTGTTGCGGGCCTGTCGCTACCATGCTAGGATCTTGTTACGGGACTAAATTTCAGGCACCATAGGCTCCGAGAGGACTTAAAACCAAGTTCCTTATAAGAAGAGCGGAGCATGAGGAGCCTGAGATCAAGCAGCTCTTGCTCCTTGGCCGTTTTAGGTTTTGGGGTTAGGGTTTAGGAGTTAGGGTTTAGGGTTCTGGGTTAGGATTTAGGCATTAGTCTGCAGGATTTTGCGCTCCACATTAGTCTGCAGGATTTTGCGCTCCACGGTTCCTGGGGACGTTTTTTCCCTGTCTTATAGAGATGAGGGCTTTGTCTTGGATGTTTCCTGCGCTTTTTGTCTAGGGTGCACCAGAACCCCTAGATCCCCTGGCCCTGGAACCCCTAGATCCCCTGGCCCTGGAACCCTAGACAAACTCGTCAAATCTGCTCCTAGCAGCTAGCAGGCAGGAGATGGATGTGTGGTCTGGCAGCAGCCAAAGCCGGAATGGAGGTTCGCAGGGTGTTCTTTGCTTCCGGGTTGAGGGTTTAGGGGTTTAGGGCTTCGGGTCTAAGATTCAGGCTGAGCTAGTTTTGGTTATTTTTGTTGAAGGGGCGGGGGGGTTGTAGGGTGCCGGGGCTTACGGTTTAGGATCCAGCACTCTGAGGAGCGATATCGTAAGTGATTTGACAGATGCCAGAAGGCAAACAAAGACACTACAAAGCTATCCATCCCAAATACCCACCCAAAAATGCCTTGAACAGAAACAGACAGAGAGAGAGAGAGAGTACACCGAACAATGACGGCCCCCTATGAGCGCTTAAGCCCGTTTTAGGTATGTATGCGGGTCATCAAAATACGTACCACTATGTCTGACTATGTACCTACCTACCTACAGACGGACGGAGGGACAGGCGTTCAGGCAGATATACATTAATATACGTACATCTGATATACGTACATACATACATGCATGCATGCATACTGGCCTGAAATGGCAAAGATCAGAAAACTATGGTATGTCATCGTATGTATGTATCTCGGTATGCATGCATACATGCATGTAAGTATGTGTGCGTATTAACTGTTTATGTACTATCTCCGTTGCTTGAACCTACAGTTGTATGTAAACACATAAATCTGTATACCCTAAACCCTAAACCCAAAACCCTAAACCCTAAACCCTTGAGTTCCGAAGGTGCTGCTGGGTGGCAACCAGATTCCTGGGATCCGTCGCGGCAGTCGGAGAAAGATACGCCGAGAACGCTTCAGGCAGGGGCCAAGCGGGGGCTCTCCGTGGACAAAAGTTGCTTTTGGGGTTTAGGGTTTAGGGTTTGAGGATTGGGGATTTAGTGCTGCCCCCAGTCTGGATCAGTTGTTGAATCTTATAACAACATCACTATCTGTAATTAATATCACCGTAATATGGACTGTTGCAGGGTGGGGGGCAGGATCCAATGCAAGCTGTGACAAGTGTCAGGAGGGCTCTGTCGGACGTGTATGTTTACGCATCTGCTTAGATTTCCCTTTGGGACGCCATGCAGTAGTAGTAGTAGTAGTAGTAGCAGTAGTAGTAGTAGTAGTAGTAGTACCCTGCCACTTCAGAGGTCTAGGTCTCATAATCTGGACAAAGGCTTCCAGAAAAAGAAGGATTCGCACAGCCCCCACAACAGTACGTAGTCGGAGCCGGGTAAATTAAAGGCCCAAACCGTGCACCAAAATGCCTTAAACCCAACAGCCCCAATGAATCCGAAAGCTTGAATCCGCAACCCACAGCCCAAACCCGAAACTCAAGCCGACACCGTCAAGTTTTGGTCGGTTCCCGATGCTTGCCAAGGCACCACAGGCGACACCCAGGCAAATTGCTCGGGCACTGGAGACCACTTTAGCTTGGCGAGGCAGTTCTGAGCCGTGGTTGTTTTCAAGGTACTTTAAGGTTTAGGGTTGTCAGGGTTCTTATGCTGATGATTTGCGTGATAGGTTCGCAAGCTTTGGGAATTCTAGCTTCTTTTCAACTTTCAGACGTTTCAACCCTAAGCCCTGAATCCCCATGCCGATGAACTGAGCAGCTCAGGATATACCGCAGAATGTGCTGAAGCGGATGACACTGCTAAGTAAGCAGTTGTCTGCCAACGTGATTTGTGAGGACAGCGTATGACGCATGCTCTGCCTGCACCCTGAACAACCTACCCTGTGACTAAAGTTTAGGGTTTAGGGTATACCTGACATAAATAGTAAGCCTGACACCATGAAGCCAGACAGAGGCGTGCTTCGATCCTGATTAATTAGGAAGTGCCTCACCCCCTCGATCCACCTTGTTTGGGGGCCCAAGCGACCAGAAAAACAACAGTAACTGACAAAGAAGGTGTTTAGGATCCTGCAGCCATAAATAAACCGACGTAGCACGATCCCCACATGATTATCCTTTATTGCTTAGATTTGCCGGCTGGGTCCCCTAATTGTTGTCCGAGTGTCCCTCGAAGGAAGGGATATTTAACTCGCCGTGCATTTGCCGCGAGGCCATTGCTACGTCTCACCCCAACCTCGACCTACCAGAATCGAGTTTGTGGTTTAGAGTTACTTTCATCGTTGAGGATGGACTATCAACCTGGTAGGTCCAGGTGGGAGTTAGGATTCGGACGTCCTTGTTGCACCCTTTCAGAGTTTTCAGATGCTCGGGATAGACTTTGATACTGTAGGTTTGGCAATCGAATCATGTGGGGACACACAACACAAGACTTAGAGACCAACACGGCGCATAGACAGAAGGAGTGCCGAAGGTGAGGCTTCAGAGATCTCCTTTACCCTGACTTAGCCAATAGAAGATCTTCAAGTTTGTCGTGAATTTGCAACTGCTGTCGAGCAACATGTCATCAAACACGGAAGCCAAGAGCATTTCAAAGCATTCGCCTTTAGCATGGAATCCGCATGCATGTACGGGTTTATAGGCCCCCCGGCTGTGTGACGTCCGGAAGTTGAATTGCTCAAGGACCGAGCATTTTCGCATTTTTCAATCGCGTCGAAAAGGGGAGATTCTCTGAAGCTTTAAGCATACGCCCTGCAGCGCCTCGATCTGTGTAATTGGGGGGCCTTAGTGGGTTTAGGGTTCCGGGCTTTTGGCGGGTTTCTTACTATAATTCTAGTATCATGTGTCCAAAGACCCTTTTCGAATGATTAAGGCCCCGATAGTAGCACTGAACTCTTGAGACCCCCTCGTCCTGGTTGTCAAGCCCAAAGGCTCCATGTACCTGTACCCTAAACCCTAAACCCTAAACCGTAGTATATACTTAAGCCCCAAAGTAGTCCCTATATAGGAACTTCAAGGCCTAAGTATATACTATATGGGTACATGGAGCATTAGGGAAGGTAGGTTGCAGGCTTTCACACGGATGGAGTATGCAGCGACTTTAATTGATGGCTGAGTTCGTGAAGTGATGTCGTGTTCATAAGGGCCTGGTGAGCGTATGTAGGGTCGTAGTTTGTGGGCGGGGGTGGGGCCTTATCGATATGCTTGAAAGCGAGACCCATGCGGTGTCCAGAAGATTGGGGATGTTGGCTTCCGGGACTGGGACACCTCAAACGCTGAAGTTCTAGAAACCTTAGACTCGACCCTCAACGAAGACATCCTAAACCCTGAACCCCTTTTCAGATTCCGTATTGCAGACCCTAAACCCTCTTCAGGTTTAATATTTAACATCGCAGGCGACCGCCGAGGACGTGGGTGGAGAGTCAGTCAGTGTCCAACCAGGTGCGGCTCTGTTCGAGGGTTTAGGGTTCCTAAGAGTTTAGGGTTCATAAGGGTCTAGGGTGTGTGTATATATATATATATATATGGCTTGTCGTAAAGGGCCTAGCCCAGGGAGGCGTCGGGCTTGTTCGATATACCTACCTAAACCCTAAACCCAAAACCCAACCCCCTTGCTTAGATTGTTTTTTCTGTGTTGGGGGTTAAGGGCTCGGGCCCCTACTGCTGATGGACAAAACCCTGCATTACCCATTGTAAGGAATATACCATGATTCCTATAATTTAGGGCCCTTAAGGTCATGCAGGATTTTGTCCATCAACACCTTAAGCCCACGTAACCTACCTTTTTAAGGACTCATGTAAAGAAATCATATTAGGGAACCCTAAAAAGGTAGGTTCCTTAGGGTCCAGGCAGTATTTAAACCCGAAGCCCCATGTTGCCTCATCGAAGGCAAACTCCTCCATCGAGAAGCCGTTTGAGGCGCCACATGCCGGAGTTTTTGTGGGGTTTCCTATATATATATATATATATATATATATATACCCAGAGGCCCCCAAGTAGTTCCTTTTTGGGATTACCTTATGGGATTCTGTATATGAACCCCCCGAAAGGAACTATTTTTGGGCCTTTGGGTAAAGGGTTCGAATGATGTAAGCTTTCTATATCCAGGTCCGGACAAAATTCCTATCTACGAAAATTTTCTCACAAGGCTTCTGTCATGGTTCTCCATCAGGGATCTACAAGGGTTTCTATATGATGCCTATAGGGCCTAGGGTTTATGAGGTTTCGTCCGCAAGATTAGATGTTCTGACGGACGGGGCAGAGTATTGTTTGCAGCCTTTCGTTGTCGCACGCCGTTTTTTGACCAAACGGGTTGATAACGTTCCGAGGCTTGTGTGGCTTACAACCCTAAACCCGTAAACCCTAAACCCCTAAATCCCTAATCCCTAAACCCTAAATCCCTAAACCCTAAACCCTAAATCCCTAAACCCTAAACCCCTAAATCCCTAAACCCTAAATCCCTTAACTCTAAACCCTACGGTTTAAGGCTGGGCTCGGAGCTTCGGGGTATGGGGCTTTTGGGACTTGTTCCTGGGGTTGACTTAGAGCCTTAAGGACGACATGAACCCTAAAAGGGTTTAAGGCTCATATACCATATAGGGATTCATAGTATATGGGTATAGGGCCCCAACTTATAAGGGTCATTTCGTCCTTAAGGAGGCTTGCATTGCCGATGTTTAAGCATTTAATCCGAAGCTGAACCTGAAAGGAACCTTCATAATCCGTAAACCTCGTAGAGATCTTCAAGGAACCCAGGTACCTCAAGAACAGCCTTGCAATTGTATAGGGCCCCGATATTCAAGCCCTTACTATACGACAACTATCTCCACCTTAACCCCTGAACTACTTACGCTGCTGTCGGAAGTGGCCCCGTAGTGTGTATGCCAGATACAGGTAGGCTGGATCAAAAAGGCCAATACACATTTAAAGAAAGAAGTACTTACGCCCTAAACCCCCTTGCTGCCCCTGAGCTCTCCCTAACAGGAGCTACTTGAGGAGGCACGGTTCCAAGACGAGGAGGCGCGCCCTTGCTCGGCTTTGGGATTTAATAGGTACCCTTAAAGGAAACCTTAAAGGAACCCTAAGCCCTTAAAAGGAACCCGGTTTTGTAAGATATTAAGGATTCAGGTTTAAGGGTTTTGGGCTTTTCTTGTGTAGGCCTCAGGCATGTAGGATTTAGTGGTTAGGGCGGATTTGGGGGGGTTTGGTGTGGTTCTACAAAGGCTTGAGAGGGGGGCGCCTGGGGATGCAAGGCTTTGGGTCTCGACACCTCATGGCGAGGGGGTGTCTGCACTTACTCGTCCACGCATGTCCTGCGTCTATGGGAACACCCGATTGTTTCGTATACTATACCCTAAAAGCATCTAAAAGCCGTATAAACCTTCCTTCTAATTGAGCCGGAAGTCCGAGGATTGGAGTTTAGGGTTAAGGGTGGGGAAAGGATTGACTTGTCTTAGGCCTGGCTTATGAAACTGAGAGACACGAAGACCCCATTATGCGAATTCCTGGACCTCTACCCCTTACGAGCCACGAACACGAGGGCAGCTGCACACCCAGGCGCCGGACGCCGCAAGTCTTGCGCCCTACACTTAAACCAGGTCCGTAAGGGTCCAAAGGACCCAACAATTGGGTACTCGGGTTTGGGATAGTAGTTATGTGACGTATGTAGGTTACTATTTTTCAGAGTACGGATAATTGTGTACTTGGACCCTCAGGGGATACCGTGAACCCGCAATAAACTGAAATTTCGAAAACCTAGTAGTAGAGTAGGTAAACGTTAATAGCCTTTCTGGCGTACTATAACCCCAACATACTCCCCAAACCCTTGATTCTTGCGGGGTACTGGGCAAGTAGTTTAGAGCCTGAACGCAAGCGTTGACTTGAAAATCTAATTTTGGGGCTGACTCATGTCCAGTATTATTTTGGGGGAGGCTCCCGATTCTAGTTATACTACTCGTATAATATACCCTAAACCTGGTTCTAATTAAGGCTCCTGTATTAGAGCCTCGAGATCGACCCTCTGGGGTGCAAGCCATGGAACAAGGTGCATTTGTCCAATGCTCAACTTCTGAACCTCTTGAGTTCAATAGACATGTGGGTAGTTGTCAAACTTATGGTCCCTTTGTGGGCCCCTAATATAGTACGGCACCTATTATTTAGGGCACCCAGAAAGGTACCCTAAGTTTGACAACCACCCACATATGTCCCGAACCCGAACGACAGTTAAGCAAGAGAGGCACGCTGCAAGCACAAGGCAAACTGGGCCTTGGATCATGAACGGCCTCAGCGCTATCCGCTATCCCTTAGAAGCTGCCCCCGCCCTGTAATAGTGACAAAAAGGATTATATTAGGGCCCTACTATGTTCCTATTATACCATTATTACAGGGTGGGGGCCCCTTCTAAGCTATCCCCCATAACCCCTAAGCCTAAACGCGAAACCGCTTAGCCCTGAGGCCTACAAACCCCTAAACACCAAGCCCTAGTTCCTTTTTGGGGGTTCATATGTAGAATCCTATAAGGTAATCCCAAAAAGGAACTGCTTTGGGGCCTATGGGTAAACTCCACCGAGCAACGTTTTGGCGAGGAGCTTCGATATCTTCCTGCCGAGGATCCCTCGATCTATTCTTCAAAGGTACTAGGGCTTTGGGGGGTTTTGGGTTTATGTCTTCTAGGAGTTTAAAGTTTGCGGGTTGGGGGTCTAGGGTTTGGGGATTAGTCTGCAAGCAAGACAAAGAAGACTTCTGCAATGAGTTATTTAAAGGAGAAGGTCTGTCAGGGTTCTGTGCCGGCTTTTGCGAATCTAGGCGATTTAAGGACCGCGGTGGTTGCTTTGTGTTGTTTGGTTTAGCTTCTTCTTGGAAGAGGGAGTCGCTCACCACCAACACTGGTTTGTAAGAAACAAGATCTGCAGGTGCCGGGGGGATGTTCTTAGGATTCTCTTAGGATTGGTGTAGGGCGTTGAAATGGTTTTGCAACATTTTCCGGTGTTTCGGCAGGGATTTTCGGATTTTAGAGTTCGGGATTAATTGCCACTGTTCGGCTTTAGGATTGAATTTTGGGGCAAAGTGTCTTGTGTCTCGCCTGTAGGGATCCGGTATTCATGTAACCATCCCTTCAGAACGTACGGTGACCGTTAGGCTTGTGCAGCCATTCCGCTAGCTCTTCAAAGTCGGGGTCAGGTTGTGCTTGAACCATGCCTTCGGGGTACTTAGAAAAACATTTAAATTCTTGGTTATTATAACCTCTAAGGAACAGCTAAAACTATAATTTTGCTAGGGTTCTAAGTTCAGTATAGATGCATGTGGCGCTTGAGGCAGAGTGCTTGTAGCTAGTTAGGCCTTTGCAGGCCGAGGTTGTAGCCGCGTAGAGCGTGGGGCAATGCAATACTACCCAAAGGCTCCATGTACCTTTATAGTAGATACTCAAGCCCCAAAGTAGTCCCTATGTAGGCATTGCCCACCGCGTCGGACGACACACAAGAACGCTTAAGACAACGGCTCACGCCAGCACCAAGTAGCTTCAAGGCAGCACAACTTGCAGCTTGCCCAATCCCTAAACCCTTAGCCCTAACCTTAGCCGCTAGACCTTCAACCCTAAACCCCTCAAGCTTTTACCCCGTGAGCCCTATAACCCCTAATCCCGAGTTTCAATGTGCGCTTGGTTGTTCGTTTTCTGAGTCCTTGCAAGGAGCGGGAAATCGAGAGCCGACTCGCCGAAAGGCGTCCGTGGATGGGATTTGGTAGGGCTTAGGGTTTCAGCTGGGATTACTGTCTGGATTGAAGGTATGTAGTACTTGCTAGTAGTAGATTATTGTAGCAATGCTTGACGGTTTGGGATATTGCGCCTTCTACTTCGCCATCCCAAGGCCGTAATCCCAATGAAGCCGTGCAGACGACCGCAATTGTGTAAGCATTAAAAATAGTGACTATGGCGCCTGTAGTGTAGGGATATTGGAGTATCCTCATCCCAAAACCCCCAAACGTAAGCCCCCATACACCCCGATATAGCCTCATCCTGCAACAACACACCCAGTTCAGTCGGCATCTCGCTCGTGAAACTTCATCTCTGACAGGGACGACGAGGAGTTGCTCCTCGCCGACTGGAAGCGACGCTGGTACGAGCAGGTGTATCGGGGCTTTGCTTTAGGATTTGTGGGGTAATGGATAGGGGACTAGGGTTTAGGAAGTTTAGGATTTGTGGAGTAATGGGTAAACCTAAACCCAGCCCCAAGCAGTACCCTAAACCCTGAACCCCCAAACATAAACTAAGCCCCACACAGCGATGCAAGTTGTAGACGGATCGATGGAGCATCGTTGATGCGGCCGAAACCTAACAGGTCATATATATATATATATATGTATATACATACCCTCCCTCCCCTCAACCCCAGCCTAACTACGGTTGATGAGTTGAATCCTGCATTACCCATAATCAGGAGTATACCACTATTTCCATAGTCTAGGGTCCTTATAAGGCACTGCAGGATTATATGTATCAAGCCCCCGTAACAAAAGAGAAAAACATGTGCGGAGTCGAGCTTGCTAGCAAGTTGGGCTCCTCGCCTGATTTTACCCAACCATGCAGAATAACCATAAGACCCACACCTCGACAGTTTTGGCCGTAAACCCAAAAGTCTTGTTAGTTTTCTTCTATATTGCGGCAAACCCGTAAATCCTAAACTTGTGAACCCCAGCTATAGACACGTATAGATTGCCGCAAACCGTGAACATTAATTACTGATTAATGATGCCCTACCGAGTCCCAAAGCCATGGCCGCTGTTTGAACTTCTCCCTCGCTCCCTCCTGTGAGGAGCGGGAGGAGCGGAGGCAAAGCGAACTGCAGCTTCCGACAGGCCCAGTGTGGATCTGACGAGGGCGGGGTGCGGGGGTTTAGGGCTGCACTGCTTCAGCGCAACGGTGTAGTGTATTTCGGCCTGGCCAGGTTGTGGAAGGCGAAACCAGGAAGTTCCTTCAGCATACTGTAGGGGCCTAAACAATACACATAGATATGTAGTAAACATTGCGCCAAAGCCCAAAGCCCTGTTCGACTTATGAAGGCCCCTTCACTGTAGCGGTGCCAAGTTGAGGATTAATGACCTCTGCTAGACTCTATGGACTGTTCAAACAGAGACACTTGATGGGTCACCCTTTTGGCTCCGCCGCTGATGACGGCCATGATTCCAAGGGTAAAAGGAGGGACCCTTAATAAGGACCCTAGGTATATACCCTTTACATAGCTATTATATACCCAGTACATAGCCCATTATAGGATTGGGGTCCCCATTAAGGGTCTCTCCTTTTCCCCTTTGAATGATGCAGCCTTCTTCAAGCTTCGAGTTCCTCTGCTCATCGCTAAAGTCTTTCTTCGAGCTTCGAGCTCTGAAGCAGCGGCCCAAACAGACTTCACTCAGGCATCCCACATACGCTTATTTAGCCCCAGGCCAAAGCCGTAAAACCTTCAACCCCAAACCCTCAGCCTAGACCCTTGATCTCAGATCCTGAACACTGAACCTGACCTGTGCATGAATCGTAGCACGACAGAACTCTGCAATACAGTAATACAGTGGCATGCAGGAAAAGTATCAGACTATTCCTGAGTGTGTTGATGATAGGGTTTAGTTTGGAGTTTAGGGCTGAGGGTCATATACATCGTTGAGAACCCCACCAAAGCACCAGTCCGATAATCATTGAGGCCTCTAGAGTACTCGCCCACATGTGCAGAGGTGAAAAGTCCTGCCACACGCCATCCTTCGGGGAGGCCCGCGATTTAGTTGAGGCACTTGTTGTCGTCGGTGGTTAGTTTACTGTTGTTTAGGGGCTAGGGTTTAGGGTTCAGGGTTTAGGGCTTGGGTTTAGGGTTTGGGGTTTGACGGTCTAAGTCTAGTTTGTGTGGAGCTTTACTCTTGTTCAGGGGCTGAGCCGGTGACTTTTTGGTAGGGGCCTGAATGATCGTACCATTCCTATAGATCGCCATATTAAAGTATTTAACCAAACCATCCCAAACCCTCGAATTCTATGCCTTGAGGGCCCTATATTCGGATTTCGAACTTTGGGAGCTACCCTAAACCCAAAACCCTAAACCTTAAACCCCAGCTCTCACAGCGGGATCCAAAGTTCCTCGGCTAGGGGCATAGTTTACGATCCAGATTTCACAGGGACCCTGCCTTGATCTCAACTTTCTGAACATTTCAGAAGTAGAGTTTCTTTGAGCCACGGGGCTACTTGTAATCCTGCCGTCACATGAGCGAACCAGATGAGCTCGAGCAATTGGCGCGTTCCAGGAAGACCCCAATATTAGGTTTCCCAGCTATAGCCGTGTAACACCTTGGAATCATGAGCCAGAAACTAGACCATTGAGCTCGCTGCGGTCAGCGAGATGGCGACATAACCTCGCGCAACAGAGGACACAGTATCAGCCCTTCCGGGACACCTGTGTCCGGTTCGCCGAGCAGCTGCACGCCGACGGTCAAGAGCCATCGTTCGAGTCCCGCAAGAAATTGAGGTTGGTGCGGCCCCCTAATCCCTTAACCCCTGAACCCTTAAATCCTAAAGCCCTAAAACCCAAAGCCTCCAGAGAAGCTGCGCTGTTGAATCTCGACGTGGCTCCCAAGGGAGCTCCAGAGCTTCACCGGCCACCCACCCCTAAGGCTCCATGTGCCCATATCCCCAAGGGTCCAAGTACATAATAATCATATACTCTCCAAAATCCTAACCTACATAACTACTATCCTAAAACCGAGTACCTAATTATTGGGTCCTTTGGACCCTTGGGGTATAGTATATACTTAGGCCTTAAAGTACCTATATAGGGATTACTTGGGGGCTTAAGTATCTACTATAAAGGTACATGGAGCTTTTGGGCACTGGGGCGAGGAATCAGCGGCTCCCGTTCACGAGGGGCATGGGTTTGGGCTTATAAGGTGCCCAAAGGCCCCAAAGTAGTTCCTTTTGGGGGTTCATATATAGAATCTAGAATCCCATAAGGTAATCCCAAAAAGGAACTACTTTGGGGCCTCTGGGTATCTACTCAACCCTAATCCCACAAGTCCTGAACTCTTCAAGCCCTAAACCCGACCCTAAGCCCCAAACCCTGAACCCGAAACCCCAGACCCACGGATCTGATTCAACCCGAAGCCCCAACCCGGTCAATTCGACCTTCTAACTGCGGAGCGGACTTGGAGGTGGACACGGAAAAGGAGCGTTAACAGAAGGCATTCGACCTGACGCCGTAAACACTAAACTTACTCTTTGGCCACGGCTTTTCCCAAAAACCCTAAACCCCCAAACCCTGAACTCTTAAGCTATACTTAAACTCCTAAACCCTAAACCCCTAGCCCTTGCTTTCCTTGCAGGCCGCAGCATCCGTTTCCTCGCCGCAAGCCATCGGAACTAGCGATGTTTCCTCAGATGAGGCGCCGGGTTGGGCATTTTGGGGCCTTACCTACCCTAAGGCTCCATGTACCCATTTAGCATATACTTAGGCCTTAAAGTACCTATATAGGGACTACTTTGGGGCTCAAGTATCTACTATAAAGGTACATGGCGCCTTTGGGCTAGAGGCTCATACCCTACCCGCCCTACCCCTTTTTTAGGGCGCCTATTTGTTAAGATAACAGATCCTAACCATAAAACTGGGTATCCTAGAAGGGGGTAGGGTATGAGCCTCTAGGTAAGACTTGGGATAATGTTGTTTAAATGTTCCCTTAAGGGCGAGATTCCTTTACGGGGTTATCATATCGGCTTTCGCATCGGTGCCTGAAGAGTTGAAGTAGGATTTTGTAAGGGTTGCTGAAGGGTTTTTATGCGGTCAATTGGTCAGGCTTTGAAATATATGCCAGGCCATGAGGGTGATATGTAGACCCCTGATTCTCTTTCGAGGTTCTGTTGCTAGGATCCCAGCTTTCCTCCTTAAGAGCGAGGGTTTACTGACAAGGGGTCAACATTATTGCGCACTGGGCCCCAGGCGATGTTCAATGATTCAAGGGCTGTGGAGGCCCAACCGCCAAGTCAAGAGAATCGAAATTAAGAGGTCTCGGCAGTTGGTCCCCTGAAGCTAAGGTCCTTTATAGAGAAGTGTTGTGGGAAACTAGCCTTGAGGACTGGATACTAGTGTAGACCCCTCCCTGTTTGATAGACCTCCCTTTCCCAGCACGGCCCCAGCAGTATCTGGTATATTTCATTTTGATTTCTGTTGAAAGCTACTCATGGAGACGGGGCAATTCAGCAGTGTGTAGATTAGTCCACAATGAAACCCTGTAACTCCCACAAATGAAAAAACTCTAAACTCTAAACCCAAATTCGATAGCTCCAACATGAAAATCAAGAAGTTTCTGATCCTCTACAGAATTTAGGGTTTTAGGATGTCGGTTTGGTTGAGGATTTAAAATATCGCGCCCCCATCGATTGTTTGAATGTTATGTTCATGTGGTCGTTTGGGCCCTATTGCCCAGTCAATGTGAAAACTTTGCAAACTTGTTCAGAGACGGTTTTCGGTTGATGTACGTAAGGTTGAACTGTTGTTGGTCCGTTGTGTTGAAGCAGCGAGTAACCGCCCAAGCCCCAAAAGACTTATAAACCCAAGGCACTGAAGCCTTCCCTCAAAGGAGAAAAAGGAGGGACCCTTAATAAGGACCCCTAGGTATATACCCTTAAATAGCCATTATATGCCCATTATATAGCCAATTATGGGGTAGGGGTCCCCATTAAGGGTCCCTCCTTTTCCCCTTTGATTCCCTTCAGGCGGAGGAGTTTGAGGCGGAAGTGCGTATGATCGCAGCCGGCTGCGGCCACTCGGCCTTCTCGAGCATTCCCCATGTTGCACAGGTGTTCATATGGGTGGTTGTCAAAATTATGACCCCTTTTGGGGTCCCGAATATAGTACGGCACCCAATATTTACGGTACCCAAAAAGGGACCCTAATTTTGACAACCACCCATATCTTCTGTTGTTTGGAGTAGTTGGGTGCGCATGATTGCTTTGTCGACACTGCAACACATGTTCGCAGCTGTTTGAATGAAGGGGATTCCTCCTGGTTGACTATGGGGTCATTGGCCGCATCGCCGCTTCACATTCGCCAAGGTACTCGTAGGTTCTACCATGTCGGGGCCCTCAGCCCTAAGCAATACTTGGAGGGTCTTGAGACTTTTTAAGTACTTGTTCAGTTGGGGAATAAGCAAGATTTACCCCAATTAGGCTACCTTCTAGGGTAACTAGTGAGCAGCTATGACCCACTTAGTGATTCCACTGACCCTCCAAGTAGACCCTGTACCTAAGACCCTAAACCCGACTCTTGACCCTGTCAACCCTCCACCCTAAACCCCTAAAACCCTTAAACCCCTAAACCCCTATACCCTAAACCCTAAACCCCTAAACCCCAAAGCCCTGTATAAGCCTTCTTGGAACCGCGAAACCCGCCACTCCACACCCCAAGACGCTTTCAGCGCTGAGGCTTCGTGCAAGACGGCTCGCAGGAACTCTGCCGTCCGGTGGAGGATGGCAGGGTGCGCCGGGTGGAAAGTGGGGGAAGGGAGGGTTTAGGGTTTTCGGGTGTTTATGGTTTAGGGGTTATGGTCTGGGGGCGGGGGGGTGGGGAAAGGACTGATGATTCTGGCAGCGGAATGGGGTTTTGGAGTTTAGGGATTGGGGGATTGCTGAATTTGGCAGCCAGAAGAATACCAAACTCAAAGATAGGTTTTAAAAGTCGGAGATACTTGCAGGGTGGTTTCCTGGAAAATGTTTCGATTCGCAGGGCCATATTGATGAAAGGGAGAAGTGGTTCAACTCTAAAACATGTATATCCTAAACCGTAGATCCTGTCCCATGCAGTATGTCCTAAGTCCCCAAATTCTAGCCGTCTAGCCCCTAAACGCAGGAACCTTGATTCTCCTTTGATGGCCAGGTCACACCCGCGAAGCACCGAGTGACCTTGGAGGAACCCAGAGGCCACGGGCTGTGAATTCATGCTTTGGGTGGTGTTTAAGTTTTGTGCTACTGGGTTTAGGGTTTAGGGTTTAGGGAAGATGCCCAGCCCAGCCTCTACACTGAGCACCCTACGTACATCGCTAAGCTGGGGCACCAGGTGGGATCCAGCAGCCGGCACCTCAAACCAGAAAGCCCAATTTCTAAGCCACATGGGGTGTCGAAACAATGGGGGCCTAATGCAGAGCCGAAGTGTCCTTCGTTCACGACGAACCCCCAAAAACAGTTGCATAAAGGATCACATGCAGCCAATCGAATTGAAGACCCCGACTGTGAAAACAAGAGAGTGTCCTCGATTCTACTCATGTGCGTTTCAGACAATAGGGGATCCAAACATAGACCGGAGTCTGTGGGATCTGTCTTAACAGCACTCCCCCCAAGAAGCCCCCGGAAACAGACCCTAAACCCTACACCCCTCCTGAACCTTAAACACCCTAAGCCCGTTATCCCTTAAACCCTAAAACGGCCGCCATGCCAGGTGGTAGCCCTGTGCGCCGAGAGCTGAGGAAGTTGGTGTAGGGTTTCGGGTTTTATACGGGATGCAATGCTGTTATGGTGGCAGTATACTGGTATATCAGTATAGAAGCATCGTAGTACAGTAGTATCGTAATAGACTGAGTCGTCTAGTAGGCTTACAACCCAAACCCAGAGCCCTAATTTTGCAGAGTTAGATCAACGGTCCTCCAATCACCACCGCTTGTTGCAGCTGGGACTGTATATCTACAGACCAAGAGATATACATACCGGGTTCTGTCTTCGAACCCAAATTCGACCGTATTCGGGTTCGCATACTAGTAGCGATCCTGAAACGAGACAAAGTATATGACTACATCACAAGAGCCTCAAGCAAAGCCCCAAATCAGAAGCCTACGCACTGTACCTTCAACGCCAGCTCAGATCAGTTCGCTGCATGTCACACATGCTACGCTTTGCATTCTGCTTCTCTCATCCCGCCGCAGCACGTTTGTGCAAGCAGCTTGGAAGGGTTGAAGTTAGGGTTCAGAATCTGGAGTTCAGTGTCATATAGTTTATGGTATGGAGAATCGATACGAATGATATTCTTCAGGGCCCATAGTTGGAATTGCACTAGAATGTAGCCCAAACGCACTCGTGAAAGTATTCAGGCCCCTATGTCAGGCTTCCAGCTGTTGCGAGCCTTTGTGCTGAAGCAGCACACCTGCGAAGGAATTCGAGCTTCATGGACCCTGTGCCATGTACAACAAGCCTGCGGGGGATGCAGCAATCTACATCATCGAGTGGAGCTTTGGTCTGTGTTTAAGGTTTATAGGGTTAGGTTTTTCTTCGGCTTCCTTTCCTGGAGTCGGAGTTGGTGCACGGCCCAGTTGTTTGTCTATTTGTTCATACATGTTCCATGATGACTCCGAGGTGCTTCCCAATAACGGACACTGGCGATTCTGTCATCCTTTAGGCAACCTGCCACCGTTTAGGCTTTAGGGCTTAGGAGTTAGTATTTAGGGTTGATCCCTAAACCCTAAACAGCTCAGTCAATCTCTCACAACAAACCCCAGGGGTGCAAAGTCCTGTTGAATGTAGGTTTTATACATTAGGAATTACTATCATGTTTTGGGGAGTATCCCCTGGAACAGTACCTAGGCCCCCTGGGCAAGTAAGGAACAAGGCCATCGATCGATGCAAGGCAACGGGCTTCTGGCATGGAGCATTGGCGCTGTGCCAGGAAGCTTCTCAGATGAACTTCAGATATTTGCACCAAGTTTGGTTTAGGGTTTAGGGGGCCTTAATTGTAGAGTTTGGTTGTGGGGTATTAGAAGTATCAAGGCCCCTATACTGTTCGGGCCGTGTCGCCTAGGAGAGAGAGTCAGGGTGTATCCACTTGCAGTCCAGATGGATGGGCTGGGCCATCTCTGTGTGAATCATTGAAAGATGTGTACAGCGTTTGTGCCCTTGGCCTGTGCCACAGAACTTGAACTGCGGGCAAATATGGGACCTTAATATAGTACCCGAAATAGTAGGACCCTTATCATAAGGACCCCAAAATACGGTAAACCTAATTTTCGGAAAAACCCATTTGGGGTGGTGGGCAAGATGGCAAGACAAGGTTCACCAACACCAGCTGCAGCCGACTATCGTTACCTATGGCACGGCTGTCAGCTCCTGTGAAAGGGGATCCCAATGGCCTTATGCAAGGCACCTGCTGCTTCTTGGATTGAAACAGCTCTAACCTCATATAATTTGCCAGTAGAGCCAATTCCTTCTCATCTGCAAGAGGGCATACTGCCTACCAGGTTAGCTATGGGTTTAAGCTTTTGTGTTTCTGCTTTTGGTGTCTATATATATATATATACAATGCAGATATTTGGAAACACATACATGCATATATATATATATACACATACATACACTCTTTGATTATTTGGACTCTTTGCTAAACCTTAAGGCCCCTAAACCCCCAAGTTCTTAAATGTCCATGTGACAGAGAGCCTTTCCGATAAGGTCGCAGGCCGTTGGTGCAGATCTATCGGCTGATGCCATTACCTGGAACCTTGGCTCGGAACAGTTTAGGAATTACGGTTGGGGGTTCAACCCCACATTCTTTAAGCCTTAAACCCTAAATATGAAAATTGGTTAAACCAAAACCAAGAACAGCAATGGAGACTATAGGTCAACCCCTAAACCCTAAACCTCTAAACCCTTAAACCCCTAAAGCCTAAAGCCCTAAACCTCTAAACCCCTAAACCCTAAACCCTCAACCCCCCCAACCCCAGGAATTCGGTTCTCAGTGGCTGCGCTCGATCTTCCGTTTGGGAGGAGGCGCCAAGGCTTTTGGATCAGCTCCGAGCGGAGGCGCCTGTGGGGCTTTTGGTGTTTTTGTTGTAGGGTTTAGGGTTTGTAGAATGCTTTGAAGGATCATGGGAGCGTTTAAAATTTTCGGGTCTAATTAGGCAGTTTCAGGCTTAAGAACACTAAACCCTACTAAACCCTGGACAACAGGAAACAAGGGCAAACGCCATTTCTGAACCCAAAGCTCTAGAACTCCTCATCCTCCCCGGGAAAACCCCTACCTTGAAGACTACAGATCCCCTGCACCCAGACCTTCCAAAACCCCTTAATTAAGGAATATACCTTAAATTATAGTAGGATCCTTAATATGATTTAAGGTATATTCCTTAATTAGGGGTTTTGGAAGGTCTGGGCATGGTGGGTTGACAGGGCGTGCAGCCAACCACCATCACCTACAGTGCCGCCATCAGCGCCCACGAAGCTAAAGGACTCTGGGAGACGGCGATACACTATTTGGAGCCCCGGATTACTATATGGGATACCGTAAGGGTAGTATGATATCGGGGGCCTCAACAAATAGAAGAGGGTTTTGGAGCCCCTGCCGTTTTGGTGACTGGGAGGTTTTTGGGGAAAGCTTGTAGGGCTGGGGTTCATAGGGTTTCGTCTCCAGGGTTTGGGAGTTCGGGGATCAGTTTTTTTAGGAGCTCGACTCTGAAAACCATGACTGTTGGGGTTGTAGAGTTCAGGATTTCCGGTATAGGACCTGCGGTTTTGGCTTCGGGGTTGAGCGTTCAGGATGAAGGGTTTTGGAGGTTCAAGGTTGGCATTTGCGGTGTAGGGGCCTAGAGGATTCAGCATCTCTATGCACTTCTCTTATAGTGCAAAGACAGGGTGTCTGACTTTATAGGAAAACTGCCGACACTCCGCGCTGAGGAAGAAGCAGACAGCCGGAATTTGCACCCGACCCTCGTCACGTGCGGGGTGGCCACTGGCTTAAGAAAGTGTGAGGGCGGGAGCGGGGGAACCTCTTTTTGAACGAGGTGAATACAGGGGTCGAAAGGGATTTATACCTTAAACCTTAACCCTAAAACTCTAAACCCTATTAGAGTTTGGATATGGGGCCCACTGGGTCGGGAAAGTTTAGATAGCGAGTGGATCAATTAGGGTTCAGCGTTTGTGGATTTTCTGAAAGTTTCAGGAATTCAGCTGTCATGTTCTAGACGTCAGATTTCAGACCGTCGGGCGTGTACAGTATAGTATCAAGTTATAAGGGTTCAGGGCTTAGGGTTTAGAGTTTGGGGTTCCCAGTGGTTATTTTGGGAGTACCGATGAAGTCTTGGGTTCAGGGCAGAGGGTGGTGTAGGCCTCAGGTTTTATGGGATTTTATATACCTACGTTGGATCACACTTACCCTAAACCCTAAACCCTAAACCCTTACTTGTTCTGGTATGAACAGCACCGAGGCCACTGAGGGTCTGTAAACCCAAAGGGTCCGAAGTACCTGCATAGTAGAATGTAGAGCTTCTATGTTAGGAGTTACTATGATGGTTTGGGAAAGTATCCCCATTACGGTACCTATATAGATCCCTTAAAGGAACCCTTAGAGGGACCCCTATAGATCCCTTAAAACGAAACCCCTGGGAAGCATGCCCTATCAGAATCTAGGACCCTTTGGGAAATGCCCTTATAAACCTTAAATCCCAAACTCTACATCCAACCGTCCCTAGGCCATCAGCACCTGTGCAAAGGGCGCGTCCTGGCAGTGTGCCGTGGAGCTCCAGGCTCAGTTTTTGGGGTCTTATAGCCCCAAAGGGTTCTAGACTACCTAAACCCCCGAAAGTAGGTAAAATAATGGCCCAATACCAATAAAAGGTTATTATTCTACATACTTTTGGGGTCCAGGTAGGAATTACTATTATGAGTTGAGGCCGGTATCCCCCGTGACAGTACCTCGGATCCTTTGCCGGTGTCTTGTCTCTTTATGCGGCCTACCCGGGTTCTATATCTTTTCCCTTGTTGCGGAGGGCCTAGGGTTTAGTGCTTGGGTGGTCTGTCTTGAACCGTTGCGCTTTACATGCTTCGGAAAGGTGAAGTTGTCCTGCCTCCTACACTGGACAAAAAAAGGTATAGTATAGGGTTACTATCGTTGAATGAGGGGCGCTGCTCCAAGTTGATTACGGTTCAAGCATGACTACGGTGTTTTTAAGTGGGATTGGGGTGTATGTAACCCTATCACGATCGAATCCCATCCTGGTGCGGGAGAAGTCAGCAGCTAGGCGATAGTTGTTTGTTTTAAATAGTAGTATCATATTCATGACCCTTAGAGTAATGAACAACACCTCCTACAATAAAGAAGCCTTGTCGTCACCCCAAAAAGGCTTGATACTCTATTAGGAGTTGCCCCAGCAACAGAGTGTTCTCCCACAGAGTTGGTTTGCGAACTGCGGGGTGCCTTTCCAGAGAGTTAGCCCTCAACCGTATAACCGTCACAACTGCTTTCAGTAGTCTGGTCAAGCTTGAGGTAGACTCCTGGCGTGAAGGACTCTGCTCTCTGGGTCCCGTTAGGGTTTAGGGTTTCGAGTTCCGGGTTGAGGGCTTTTCGGCTTTAGGGTGAGGTCTTGAATCTTGAACTCATGGTTGATCTGCGCAGGCTAAAACGCAGCTGCAGAGGTTACCGCCATCGGAAGTCACTTGGCTTGCAACACTGAACCCCAAGCCACAAACGATACCCTAAACCCTAAGCTTAAAAATCCTAAGCGCTGATACCCTAAGCATCCCTGTCCCCTGCAATGCCCTTCGCAGCCCAAACCTAAATCAACCCGAAACCCGATATCCCTAACCGAAGGATTTGGCTGTCTCGGTGTTGAGATATTTCTGAGGAGTTCCAGGATCGTGCTCGTTGGTGTGGGTGATGAGAGACCCCCGCAGCCTAAAGGCACCCTTAACCCTTGAACCCCCGAACCGAAACCCCGCAAGCCCTACCTTAACCCTAAATAATCGACCTTGTTAAGGATTTATGCAGGGAGTTTCTATTCAGGCACCCTGGCTTTCTTGGGGTCCGGGTATGTCATTAAAGCCCGGAGCCCTGAGCCCAACTAGGATGCCCAGTAGTACCCTTACTCCTTTTTTGTAGTCCTGGGTTCCTTCTTAAGTTACCCATCCAGTTACCCAACACCAAAAAGTGAGGTAAGTTACCCAATAAGAAAAAGGGAGTTAAGTTACCCAATACCCAAAAAAGGAGCCCTTTTTGTTCCTGGGTTACCGGGCATTTTTTTGAGGTCAGTTGCAACTCGGCTCTCGCTGCTTACCAGCGAGCGGATGACTGGCCCAGGCCGGGGGCTCTTGTAGGGTTTGAGGGTTTATGGGTTTAGGGGTTTAGGGGTTTAGGGGTTGGGAGTTTAGAGTTTAGGGGTTTAGGGTTTTAGGGATTAGGGGTTTAGGGGTTTAGGGGTTTAGGGGTTGGGAGTTTAGAGTTTAGGGGTTTAGGGTTTAGGGGTTTAGGGGTTTAGGGGTTTAGGGGTTTAGGGGTTTAGGGGTTGGGAGTGAGGGTTTAGGGTTTCGGGGCTTGGGGGTTTGGGGCTTGGGGTTTAGGGTTTACGGTTTGGGGATTGGGGTTTACGAGTTTTGGGGTTTAGGGTTTAGGGGATACTACCAGGAGACTTGTTTGTGGGATACTTCCAGGGGACCTTTTTAGCTAGAGGAGCGTTTAGGGTTCAGGGCCCAGGGCGCAGGGCTTAGGGTGAAAGGGTTGCTATAGCGCTTTAGGTCTAGTCTTAGAGCGGCGTCGGTTTGGTTTATGTGCAAGGTTCCTTTACAGGCTTTATAAGGGTTATCATAATGGCTGGGGTTTAGTATAGTATAGGGGCTTTTCACAATGTCAACAATTAATGTCCGTTTTTTGCTGTGCTACAACTCTAGTAACTCTAAGGAAGAGTTGAATAGAGTTGGTATGTATTAGCCAGAAAGGTCGCAAGATACTGCCATTCTGGAATCTGGAAGAAGACCCCGAAAGTTGCAAGGCTTGTTATTAACTTACTGAGTATTGACGGAGCGATGAGCCTTTTGAGAGACAAGTATGAAACACACATACACACACCAGCAGTTGGAATCAGGAGTTATCATTGGCAACACTCAAGAATAACCCCAAACCGTAAGCCTAAACTCTAGGAGCCTAGATCCTTAGCACTTTCCCGCTACTTAGGTCGGTCTTGCTGCTGGCAGAGATGCGGGCGCTTAACGCCATGCCTTCGATCATCTCCTACAGCACTGCCGTGGCTGGGTTGGGTTTAGAGTTTCGAACTTAGGGTTTAGGGTTTAGGGTTTAGTAGGGATTCGAGTTTCTTGATGTTGAATCGGGTTCAGCAAGCGTGGTGGTTCTTGTGCATAATATACGAAGCTGATGAAAACCTGGGCCCACAGCCCCAAACTGCTAGGATCCATATACAAGGGGCTATTGAAGACCGAAGGTTTCTGAATCAGGTTCCTGCTTAGGGTTTATGGAGGGTTTAGGGATATCCGCCATGATTTGGATGGTGTTGGGAGTCAGGGTCCCGAACGATACGACACATGTCGCATAACCTTAACGGAAAGTCCACAGATGTACAACACAACTACCATCTAAGGAATTAGTCCCCGAAGATCATACCCACCATGGTTCCACCCGCGTGGAAGCGAAGAAACCCAGGTCGCGGCTTGCACGCAGTCTGGATGGTGGCAGGTTGCCTGCAGCCTCTAGGCTCTTGTCAAGGAATTAGTTTATTGAGTTTTCTAGTTTCGTGAGGATCTTGAAAGGGAATTGTGGAGGATCCGTAAGAGAAAAGCCAGGTTTGCTTGGCGAAGCTCGGGAAGACGACCTGGATTTGAACGTCATCATCTTCAACTCCGCCATTAGCGTGTGTGGCTGGCTTACCCTACTAAGGGTGCATGTGCATATACAGTGTAGGCTTTGGTCGTAAAGAGATTTGTGTATGGTAACTTTTGGGCCGCTGTATCATCCCATAAGTAGTCGAATCCCATGCAGCGTGACATCCGGCTTTTTGGGGCATGTTGGGGGGGGGTCAGCAGGTGTTTGAGTCCTTCAGTCATCGAGCCAAGATCTTAAACATAGTCTCGGGTGGTTCAATTTCAAGATAGGCTAGGGATGCACCCTAGCCCCGAATTACCTACCGTTTTGAGGACCTTCAGCATGATGAATTCTTTGGTAGAAACCATGAGAAGGCAGGTTAAAGCGGGTTCACGTAGGGCTTAGTAGGCTTAGGGTTCGTTGTTCGACTTCAAGATACAGGTCAACTGTAGGTCCCTGCGTCCTCCAATGTTAGCAGGGCTTTGGGGAATTCGGTCTTTCCGGGATGTGGTTTCGTCAGTTGACTTTCAACTTTCCGAGCCTTTCTGATCCTGCCAGATTTCAATGGCAAGAGTATCTGTTGAAACTCGAACATACGTACCGGCATGGGAGCTTCAAATGATGGGGAACCAACTCCGAGATAGGCCCCCCTCTTTTTCCTCACAAGATCATTGTGGGGGGAATTCCAGAGTCTCTGGAGCGAGAATTCACCATCAACAACAGCCCGCCCATCACCTACCCCTAGTAACCTCCTAACCCAAGCCCCCCCATTCTGATACCTCCCGGGGGGGTTAGGGGGTTTACCCGGCGTACATCCTGATCCCGCCCAACCACACACGACTTTTTTCACATTTGGGGCCTGAGAGGCGGTTGACAATGTCTTGGTTTTCTCAGCAAGCTGGACAATACCCAAATGCCCCAAAGTAGTTCCTTTTGGGGGTTCATATATAGAATCCCAAAAGGTAATCCCAAAAAGGAACTACCTTTGGGGCCTCTGGGTACTCTGTAAGCCACTCTACGTAAACCCTGAATCCTTGGCCCTCTGAACCCCCTACCATCTCTGGGGAATTCGAAACCGAACCCTTACAGGGAACTCCAGAAAGTTGGAATATGGTTTCATGGTAGGATACCCTGTAATTCACCATGGAAGGGTTAGGATAATCATATTCCAACTTTCTGGCTTCTACTATAACGGGGCCAAAGTAATGCATCCAGGTGAGAAGGGGGAGGAGTGGCAAAGGGCGCTGATGTTGCTGGAAGAGGCTTCGGACCTTAAGGCGATCCGAATGACGTGCGGTTCAGGGTGTAGGGTTCTTCTCAGGGTTTAGAGTTTAGGGGGTTTTGTGCGCTTATTGCTTGTATCCTTGTGAGTGCTATTATTGTCATTAATATAGTTGTCGCTGTCATGATTATTCAACAGCTGCACCATTTGGGAACCTAGACTCTTCCTGGAAGAAGCATGATCCTGATTGAGAAGCTACTCAATACTGACATGTATAGTAGTTGCACATATGATCCCTTCAGGCTCCTCAGTATACTCATAAGCTGTAATATGTTCCCGCAACTCTCTTTCTACTGCGAAACGAGACGTTCCATGCAGAGGTTTAGGGTTTCAGGGCTTCAGGAGCAGAGCAGGGGTGAGACTTTGAAGGATTCAGGCGTTGATGTTCTGGGTTTGCGTGCTACTGATTTAGGGCCGTTTAGGGTTTCAGAGGTATGAAGGCTTAGTGCTGAAAAACCATTTTCCATTCCGGAGGCTTACAATTTGGGTGTTTGGTATCTGCTGGCCCAGAGCAACGTTGAGTGAGATTACAAACATGGCCCTGGACAATTCCGTCCCTTAATAGCTTTGTTGTATACTTTATGCACAAGCAGCGCATTCCAATCATTAAGGACGCTGCATTCGATTTTGCGGGTTCGTTAGGCAGTTTGGGGTTAGGGTTTGTTTTGCTGGTGGAGATCTCGGGGTGGAACTCCACCTGCACTCCGAGTGCAGTTGGCTGGTGGACTGGAGCACTGGTCGCTGGCACTCGGACACGTACGGAAGTGGAATGCGAAAGCGGCAGATATGAATAGGTTCCCTCTAGAGTCATGAGAGTGTTGCAGGGGACCAAGGCTATAAGGGATTGCAGGCTTGCGATATTCCTGTAAAAGCTTAAACAACAAGCTGGGATTTCAATTGTTTTTTTCTAGGCCGTGCGTGCTGTTGTACACAACTCCCCAACTGTCGTGGTATGCAGAAACCTGACTACCCAACGAATGCATCGATATCGGCATCGGTAAACTCGGGCTTCGGGTTTCGAGCCCAATCACCCTAAACTCCTAAATCCAAACCTGGAAACTCATGAACCGTAAGCCTAAACCCTAAGCAATAACCGATAGCCCCTTAACATCTCCAGGTGCAGCTGGATGTGATCTCTTACAACTCGGCACTCAGCACATGTGGCAAGGCCCCTGCCACTGCAACTCACTCCTATTCTCGCCTGCGTGGCTGTGCGGAGAGTTTCGATGCCCTCTAGTCCAGCCCGGGATCACACTTATATCATCCGAAAGGTGGCAGCACCACTAAGTGAGATCGAACCCCAGCATTAGACTTTGCTGATAGGGTCATGGCCATCACACTGGAATCATACGGCTGCACATATAGTAGGTGCATATTTGTTCAGGGCAACCACTGTATCAACGTACTTGATGCACAGGGTTCTTTTGGCTCTACGGGCTACAAAAACGGGTCGCATAAGGGCCACAATTTTTCGAATAGGGACTTGGTATACTATTTTATTCAACATAAAATAACAACACCGGCAAGGCAAGGTGAAGCTTTGCACCAGCGGCAATTAACCACCGCTAATACTCGTCAAACGTACGGAGGGAGCAGAAGCAGAACTCTTCATGTATCCAATTCAAGGACCTTTTAGTTATTGAGCCACTTGAGGCCGTATGTTCTGAGTGCCCGTGAGCCTTCCAGCAAGGTGATCGCCATCCGCTAATATTGTAGGATGTGCCAAATAATTCTGCGGGCAGCTCTGGAAGTTAGGGTGCTTTGTAGATCCTAAATATAGTACGGTAAGCACCCCAAAAAAGATCTACCCATCATGTTAGTCAGCAACATGTCGCCTTCTTCCGATTCCTGAGTTCCGGAGTGGGTACTACCAAGTAGGTACTTTACCAAACGTACCAACAATCCCAAATAAGCCCTAAAAGCCCTTATCCCCTAAATTATGCGAACCCTTAACCCATGAGCCTCAAACTCAAAACCTTCAAAAAAACACAACAGCGCGCGCACACACACACACACACACACACACACACACACACACACACACACACACACACACACACACACACACACACACACACACACACACACACACCACACACACACACACACACACACACACCCCACACACACACACACACACACACACACACACACACACACACACACACACACACACACACACACACACACACACACACACACACACACACCATGTATGTAATATATATATATATATATATATATATATATATACATATATATATATATATATGTATTAATGTATATATACCTATATAGAAATGACGACAGAGTATACACTGCAGGCCATGGAGTGGCAAGCAGCACTAGGCCTTTGGACTCAACTGCAGCGGAAACGCTTGAAGTCGCTTGGACTTTTCTCAGCAAAGCTTTCTGGCCAAGGAAAGCCGGCAGCCCGAAACCATGATGCGACTAAGTCTGAGAACAAGTTAGGCTTTCGGGTTTCGGGTTTAGGGTTTGGGGAGGCGTTTAGCAGTGCAGCATGAGCGCACATGCAGTTCGTAATCAGAAGGTGGTGGGAATCTCACAAAACCTTTTGCCCTAAACCTAAACCCTGAAAGACATGTGCGTGGCCGCTTTGAAGCAATGAGGCGTCCAGTCCTTCGGTCTTAGAGGCTAGAACCCCAACGGATTCCAAAATCAATTTAGTTAAGAACATTCGCTCAATCGGATAAGAAGCCAAATACTGAAGTTTATTGAAGGAAAAGTTATGTATATATATATATATATACACGCACAAAAACTACACATATGTATACATGCATTGCATAATGAAGAAACTCAGAAGGTGAATCTGGTGTCTTGACGCCCCAAACCCCGAAGCATATCGCTACAAAAATACTCGTTGTCTCGGTGGACCTTGTGTGGATTTTGACCTCCACACTCAGGGAGATGTGGTGTCTCCGCGAGACTGCAGCATACGCCAGTCTTGCCATTCATTGCCGGTGGGGAGCCGAAATGTCCCGAATAGATACTATAGGTCCCTAGGTTTTATGTATACTTGGCGCCTCAGGGGATAGCTGAGCTAAAAGCCTTAAACCTTAAATCCCAAATGATCCGTAACAGTGAGAAAAGGAGCCACCAGCAAAACAAACAACAACCCGAGGATCCCTAAAGTGATTAGAGCGTCGGTGAAGGCCCTCCCCTCTACACCGACCGAAGCCCAAAACCCCAAACCCTAACCCCGAAACCCGAAAAACCCGCAGCCCTTACAAAGGAACCTCAAACCCCTAAACCCTACTAAGGCCCAAACCCCTAAGCCCTTAAGGAACCCTAAACCCTGAAAGGAATCCTAAACCCGAATCATTTAAAGGAACAAAGGAACTCAAAACCCTAAACCCTTAAAGCAACCCTAAACCCTTGAGGGAACCCTAGACCGTAAACCCTCAAAGGAACCCTAAACCCTTAAGGAACCCCAAACCCCGAACCCCTAAACTCTAAACCCTAGAAGGAACCCTAGTCCCCTACACCCTTAAGGAACCCCAAACCCTGAACCCCTAAACCCTTAAAGGAACCCTAAACCCTGAACCCCTAAACCCTAAACCAAAAGCCGGAGAAAAAGGCCCTCAACAAAAAACCTAAACCGAAGGCCCACGATTGTCACATTCAACTCCGCCATCACAGCTTGTGAGCGAGCCGCCCTCTGGCAGCTGGCCCTCCACTTGCTGCAGGAGGCGCCTTGGCTTGAGGTCCATAGGGTTTAGCATTCAGGCTTTAGAGGCTTTGGGGTTTTAGGGTGTAGGGTTTGGGGTTGAGGGTTTAGGATTCAGGATTTAGGGTTTCGGGTTTACTGTTCAGGGCTGTAGCGGATATAATCATTAGTACAGGGCTTCTGTGTAATATTAGTTTTGACCAGGAACCTTCCGAGTTATTTCGGCCCTTACGTTGGAGCTACGGGGTGGGCTTGGGGGTGCGCCTATTTAATTGCAATACCCTATGGACCTTGAAGCCTAAAGCGATGTGAGTCTCAGAGGCTTTTGCTTCGTGTATACGCGGACACAGGGTTGTGGACTTGTGGGGTCTCGGGTTCGAAGTTGGGGTTGCAGGCACAAGGAAGTAGCAGCGAACGGCAACCGCACCCCTAACCCTTCAGCTGAAGACCAAACTGGACCCTTGACCCTAAGCTAAGCCCCCAAAACACCCTGCCACACCCTACATTCCTGCGACGCGCAACAGCAAGCACGACCTAGACCCCAAGGCTTTATGCCCCTCTACACTGAAATCGTGGAACGCTCGACTCTTTTGGAGCTTTCAGTTCAGATTGCAGACTATCAAAGGGGAAAAGGAGGGACCCTAAATGGGGACCCCTACCCTATAATGGGCTATATAATGGGTATATACTAGCTAGATTAAGGGTATATACCTAGGGGTCCTTATTAAGGGTCCCCAGATCCTTTTACCCTTGGAGACTAGACAACTCGAGATGCTCGCAACCCCAACGGCATCCGCGCTATGAGGCGGATGCTGCGGGGCTCCATAAGGACGGCATCACCTTCAACTCAGCCACTTGGTTCTGGACTTCTGCTACTGCTGCAGCAGCAACAACAATGGTAAAAATGGTCACAACCGTCATGAATCATTATCGTCTGCTGTATATAAATACGGCTTAGTATGTTAATTGGTGGAGACATAACAGTTTTCTAACCAATCAGTCTGGTCATCAAGTCCATGAATGCTGCTGTGGTGTCCTTGGGTGTCTTGGATCTTGTTGCTAGAGCGAAAATGTTTCTACTGTGACTACCGTGATCTGTCATTGCCACTGTGCTGGATTGGTGTATGTGTTGTCCATGGTTTTGTGTTTTTTTTCTGAAGCTGTTTTCGGGTCGCGATGTCCGAGCTGTGACCTAAATGATGTACGGGCACCGCAGTACCAGAGAAAGTTTCGACTGCTATTGAATTACTGCGACCAGAAGCCTGCCAACTGAGAATCTCAAAGCGCACCGTGAACGACGCATACGTTCGGATCTACCACCCCAGCCTGGACGTATTGGCCTTAAACCCTAAACCCCTAAACCCCTAAACCCTAAACCCCTAAACCCCTAAACCCCTAAACCCCTAAACCCTGAACCCTAAACCCTATAAACCCCTAAAGCCTAAACCCCTAAACTAAGTTGTAGGGTGTTCGGGCTTCTTTGGGGCAATCCCTATGAAGCCTTAGCCCTAATATATAGTATAAGGTACACACACATAGATCTGTTTGTGTCTACGTATAGGTGTCTGTTTTGCAGATACAGAACCTGCGTCACCGAATAGGTTCTGGCAAGCCAGCTGAAAGTTGCCAAAGCGGGTACCCAGGTACACTTTAAAGGCTTAATGCTACAATATAGAAGCCTGTGAGATTAGTAACTATAGTAATCCAAATCCTTAGGGCTTCTTAGTGTACTTATACTACCTTACTACACTATACCCCCAAACCCTAAACCTTAAACTCTATACCCCAGCAAGGGCCCTTAAAACAACAGCCTATACCCCAAAACCCTGCTTTAGCTATCAATTCCGTGAGTGCAGGCCGTCTCTGCATGTGAGAAGGCGGGTCAATGGCAGGTCGCCCTATGCAACCTGGCCAAAATTCCTAGGTCGTGTTAGGGAGACCCCTTAAAGCAGAACATTCTTAACTCTACTTCTCCCTGTCGAAACCCGACCTTCTTGAGAGGGTCTACATCTCCAGGGGTCGCCGCAATCCTAACTCCCAAAACTGCAGTTGCTTCTTCTTCGGACTGGTCTTGGTGTTTGGTTGTGCAGAGTTCCGCTGCTTTCGCACAAGGATCTGGAACCACTCGGTGTTTGCTAGTCTGCGCCTACCTACCTCGAGTTTTATCAGTCTTCGGACTTATGGTTTACTCTGGGGGCTTAAAAAATACCTATACTATACTATTTTGGGGGTTCCTTCTTATAATTATAGTTTCATGGGCCCGTATACTATTTTTGCGAGTTCCTTTTTATAAATACAGGATAATGGGCCCCAAAACTCCGTTCTAGTTATTAAGGGTCCCCTATATTAGGGCTTGCAAGGTTTGCTGCAGCAATCGGAGCACCAGCGGCTGCCCCGATCCGCCACGGGTTTTAGTGCCGCCATCAGCGCCTGCGCACGGGGCACAGAGTGGCAGGCTACACCGGAGCGGTTTGGGTTGAAGATCCGGTTCCGGTGCACTTGTACTTATGTAAAGCTGTCAGGACATCTGTGTGTGTGTGCTGCTTGCTATGTACCAATACATAACTGGGCTATTTACATGTATCACTGGTATACTGGTTCAATGGACATTCCGGCAAGACGACAGATGTCATGCAAAATCTCCTAAGTCGGTACCTCTGCAAATCCACTCTCCAAACACTGAGCCCTTGCCTTCGACACTAGACCTTATTTTGAGCTTTCACGACTAAACCCCAAGCCCCTAAACCCTATAACCTAAACCCTAAACCCTAAACCCTAAAACCTAAACCCTAAACCCTAACCCCCCCCCAAAAAAAAAACATGTATATATATATATATATATATATATGTATATATATATAGATATATATATAAACGATCGGGAGCCTCAATCCACTGAGCCCCCTGTCAGGTTGCTCTGGCGTTGCTAAGCGAAGTTCAGAAAGCTGGTGTGCCTTGTTGTCAAAACCCTAAACCCTAAACCGTGCCTTGTTTGACAACAATCCCAAAGGGTCCAAGTAATGGTGTAGTATATACTTTTGGGGCCCAAATACCAACTAAGTACCTACTATAATGGTATTTGGACCCTTTGGGAATTTTTGGAGCCGAAAACAATTCCAATACTATTTTGGGGGTTCCTTTTAGTTATAGTATAATGGGCCCAAAAGCCTGTTCTAATTATACAGGCCCATATATTAGATTGTCGGCATGGCACGTAAGCCTTAAGCCTTGTATATCCGCGCTCTCTGAAGACCTGTGCTGAATGTCGTGGGAAATGTCATTCGCGCTTGTCAGGTCTTGAGATGTCAGCAGTTGGGTTTAAGCGTACCAGTGGCTACCACTTAGGAATTACATTGAACTAGAATCCATATCGGGGAACCCGAAAAAGGTAGGTTTTTCGGCTACAGATGAAAGGTTGCCTTGAGAGCCTTAAAGTATTCCATATGCAGTATACGTTTTTGGGGCACATGGACCCCTAAGCTCCAAACCGCTACCCCCCCAACACCCTAAATCCTAAACCGTTATAATACCCCCAAAGGGTTTCTTGATAACTTCAGGATGCAGGCATTTTCGGTGCTGCATCAGGCCTGAGGAGCTGAGAAACCTGAATATACAAAATGAACACCAAGAAACGGATGAGGGTTTAGGGTTTAGAGGTTTAGGGTTTGGGGTTTAGTGTTGAGTTGTTCAACGTTTTGGGGGGTGTTTTGGGGGTTAATGAGCATCTAAGCACTTGGACAAAGAGCCTACTGCTGTTGTTGACGAAGCCTCGTAACTCAATCTGAATAGCAGCAAAAGTGATAGCCTATATCGACGCCGGAATAGCTGATGATGCTAGTCCTTTGATAGTTTTCCTATCCATAAGCATACTACAGAAGCCATACCTCGAAACCCTATTCCAATAAGGTAAGTAAGTTACCCTTGATGGCGAGGGGATATGGGGGATCCTGGGCGCTAGCACCTCGCTCTATATGACTACCGGAATGGGGAAAACTCTTACTTGGAGGATCATGGGACTTAGTAAGTATAGTTATAAGTACCTTAATTGGGGTTATAAGTAGTTATAAGTATAGTTACCCTAACTATAATCCCCTGGTAACTAAGTCCCATGATCCTTTCAGTAGTTTGTAGGAATCAGTGCAGGAACACGGCATCCTCAAGGGACCACTACTGAAACAAACTCTCTACGAGAAGCGGAAGCTATGTAGGAACCCCTGAGAGGATCTTTAGAGGAACTCTTGAAGGAGCCATTCAGGGAACCCCTTCAGTGTTTAGGGTTCGGGGTTACAGAGATCCCTCTTTGACACATTTTTTGTAGCTGCGGTAGAACCCGCATTGGAAGCTAAGCTGGAGAGAACTCTTCTAAGAGCCGTTATATACGCTAACGCTACTGCCGAAACCCTTTAATCGCCTGAACCCCCAAACTCATATGGGAGTTTCCGAGAATAGGGGCACCTCATTTTGGGGGTCCTTATAATAAGGATCCTACTACTCAAGGTACTATATTAGGGTCCCCTATTTTTGGAACCTCCCATATGAATATAATCAGGACAATCATAGTAGTAATGGTTGTAAGAATTGTAATACTAGTGATGATAGTGATAATAAGAAAAATATAGCCTTAGTTTGGGAATACCTACAGTAAAAACCCTAAATCCTAGACCCTTTATAGAACCCTTATTAGATCCCTTAAAGGAACCCTTAAAGGGCCAGGGTCCCCTATGTTTGGAAACTCCCATAGAGGAGCCCTGGAAGGAACCCCTTCAGAGAGACCTTAGAAGCTGCCCCCACCCTGTAATAGTGACTATAATCATTACATGACGGCCCTATATTATTTTCCTATTATGCCACTATTGCAGGGTGGGGGCCCCTTCAAAGAGAGACCTCAGGTCGACGCCATACTTCTCAGCGCCTCCATCAGTGCCTGCGATCGGGCCGCGGAGTGGCCGCTTCTCTCGAGGTTGTTTACCGGGTTTCTGGAAGGGCTCAGGTCATGAAGAGCTCTACAGATCTGTTTGGGGTGGGGCATAAGCGTTTAGAATCTAGGCTCTGCAGATCTGCTTGGGGCGGGGCATAAGCGTTTAGGATCCAGGCTTTGTGCTTTATGGGTTGTGTGGCTCGGCCCTGCGTGCTCCGCAAGTCGGCTCTCGCTTAGGTGGGGGTTCTATGATGGCTTCTCTCTCCCAAAGGCTCCATGTACCTTTATAGTAGATACTTACGCCTCAAAGTAGTCCCTATATAGGTACTTTAAGGCCTAACCCACAGGGTCTAAGTATCATCTTGGTATACACTTAGACCGACTCAGACCCCCAACATACCCTATAAGTATATACCAGTATGATACTTGGACCGTTTGGGTAAGTTTATACTATATGGGTACATGGAGCCTTGGGGTCTGGTTTTCTCAAATCGTGCCAGCAGACGCATGACAGGTTGCGGCAGAGGAGGGAAAGTCTAGTGGGCTCAGGAGTCTCTTGGGAAGCACGCTTTCCTTGAGTTCCCGTGTGAGTATGTTTGTCACTCTCCCGTCCGCCTGAATCCACAAGTGAAATTTGAGGCGGGGCATCGATTTCGACGCCAGGTGTGTAGGCCTAAACCCTAATCCTTATAAACCTTAAACCCTAAAACCTGTATATACCCTGATTCTGCTTGATACTCGAAGGGTCTAATTAAGTGCCCCAAACGCCGACCTACTACACTGTTACTGGCTCCTTGAATCCCCCACACTGTCGTTGACCCCGCAGCGGTAGAATGCTCAGAGAAAAACCCCAGAACCCATAAATTCCACAGCTTTCCGCAAGGCTAAAGCCACCTGCATGGTTTTGGGATGGGAGCAGTGTAGGTTAGTATTCGGGGGAGTTTTTGCTTGGCAAACATCTACACAGCCTCAGAGCCATTACCTGACATTCATGTGTGTGTGTATCTATATATATATATATATATATGTATGTATGTATGTATGTATGTATGTACGTATGTATGTATGTACTTCTGTATCTTGTATCATATGTTGTATATCATATCATATCATATCATATTACATCATATCACATCATACCATATCATATCATATCATATCATATCATATCATATCATCTACAGTTGCGTAAATTAAAAAGTATACGATATAGACTATATAAATATATGTATACACACACACATATTACATGTGAAGCATTCTACATCGCAGGCGCTATGTGTTTATACATGTGTGTGTGTGTGTGTGTGTGTGACATGATCTGCGTGCACACATGTATGTATCTGTATACAGCGAGGGAGGGTCATACGGATGCGCACTTTAACGAACAGGTATCTATAGGCGCCTTACCTTGGACCATACTTCCCAAAGGGTCCCAAGTACCTACGTAGTAGAATGTAGGGTTTCTGTTTCAGGAATTAATATGATTTCGGGAGGTATCCTGCGATAACGCTACCTAGGACCCTGTGGGCATGTACGTACGTTGTCTAAACGCTAAACCCCCTAAACCCTAAATCCCCTGAACTCGAAACGCTCCATAAACCCTAAACCCTCCCTAAACCCTACACCTAAAACGTGACGTGCCCAGCGAGGCAGCGCGCGCTCCTCCTGCTTGGAGACTTCGAGGACTGCGAATGCGCTTGGGTTTGGAGCAACCTCCATAGGTATCTAAATTCGGGTCACTTTCGGGGCTCCTTAAAGGGATCCATAAGGGTTACTATTTAGTATGGCCTCAGAGGCGTGGACTTGAAACTTATGATGCGCTCAAAAGGCCCGAAATTTCACACCCGATTGCACTGAACATCCCAAACCCCTGACCCTGAGCCCTAAGCCTTAAATCCTGAAACCCGAACAGAACCCTAAACCGAACTTCCTTAAACCAGCTTATCCGAGCCTGGAAACTTCCAGGCATATCTGCTTCAACCGACAGCCGTCACCCTGGGTGCCGTCATCAGCGCCTGTGCTAAGGCAGCAGTGCTTCGGATGCAACCTTAGAAGGCACCTGAAGCAGCGGATCTACCGAGCCTTACTATAGGGGCCTTAACAATTACCTATATACTTTCTTCCTTATTATAGTTATGGTATAATGGGCCCCAAAACCGCAGTCTAATGATTAAGAGGCCCCTTCATTACAGGGTTTCGAGGTTTTTCCGAGGGATTGATTTATTCTGCTTTTTGAGATCTTCAAATCCGAACTTCTAGCACAACTCCCCAGATGCACCACCTCCGACATGAAGAGCCCCGTAATCATTGCAGCACCATAATTTCTATGAGCCACAACGACAAAAGAACCCTTATCGACAAGCAAGTCGCTGTTAACAGGTCTCGAAACCTCCTAAAGCCTGTCTTGCGACACTGATAACGCCCACACTAAAGCCATCTAACCACTTGCTTGCAAACTTTTTGAAATCCAAATTTGCGTCCAAGGCGCCCCACCCCAACAACAATAAGCCTTCCGAATCCAATGAAGAGAAAAGAGGTCTGAACAACAAATCAGGCTTTGGATTTCAGGGTTTCGCATTCTTAATAGTGTCACTCTTGTCTGTTTTTTTAATGCCAGGTACAGTAGTTCGTTTTTTCACCAGTTACAGTAAGTCAGCAGGTAGCAACCACATGCAACGGGGGTCGAGCTGACATTAAGGCTGACAGTTTTGTATCGTTCCTTCTTTGCGACATAGCCGGTCTCCTTCACAAGCCAACCATGAATCAGACCCGTCGGTCCCTATACCCTAAACCCTAAACCCTAAGCCCTAAACCCTAAACCCCCAAACCCCTAAACCCTAAACCGTTCATGCAGCGCACATACGAGCCTCAAGGTTTCCACGCGGGCTCCCTGGTAGAGGTTCCGGTTCGGATTTGGGGGGTTTAGATACACTAGCGTGAACCTGTAGTTTAGGGTTTATATAAGGGGTCTATATAGGGGTTTAGGGTTTACGGTTCTGTAACGTGAACATACAAGCACTTTATGGGCACATGGACCCAAAGGGATGCTCAATGCTTCGGATTTTTTGATTCAGGGTCTACAGGTTCAGGTTTGTGGTTGCTTCATGCAGCCTAAATCTAGGCGTTGAACAGATTTTTCGCGACATGTTGATTATCGTCGAAGTTGTACTGCTCAGTGGCAAGACAGCCACTGTGAAAGCAGACTTGCATGAAACGGTGGGAGAATTGAGTCTGCGGGCGCAAACTGCACTTGGAGTCGGCAAAGGGCAGCTGTTGGACTCATCCGGAAGCGTACTGGATACACGTTCAACGATTCTTGATGCCAGAGTGCAGAGTGGTGATTCACTGAGTCTGCACATATCCGCAGTTCAACTCCGGGGATGCTATGCGGCTTTTGCCGCAGTTCTTGGAGATGGATTTGTGGCGAGCTGGGGTGGTTGGAGGCGAGGGCGAGAGTATGGATTTCCTGGGAGGAATGTGCAGCAGATCCAGGCCTCTGCTGCTGCTTTTGCAGCCATTCTTGCCGATGGGTCCGTGAAGACCTGGGGCGATTTTGACTGCGGTGGTGACAGTGAGGCTGTGCAGCGTAAGTTGAAGAACGTGCAGCAGATCCAGGCCTCTTTTGGAGCTTTTGCTGCAGTTCTTAGGGACGGATCCGTTGTCAGCTGGGGGTCGTCCTGCTCTGGTGGTGACAGTCGTGCTGTGCGGGATCAGCTCAGGAACGTGCAGAAGATCCAAGCCAACAATGCTGCTTTTGCTGCCATTCTTGACGACGGATCTGTGGTGTCCTGGGGTACTGCTCACGCGGGAGGCAACAGTAGTGATGTACAGGATCAGCTCAGGAATGTGCAGCAAATCCAAGCCGCTCCATGCGCTTTCGCAGCCATTCTTGACGACGGATCGGTTGTGACCTGGGGTGGAGCTGCCTATGGTGGCGACAGCAGTGCTGTGCATGGTCAGCTGAAGAATGTGCAGCAGATCCAAGCCAACGGCAGTGCTTTTGCTGCCATTCTTGGAGATGGATCCGTTGTGACTTGGGGTCATGCTGAGTTTGGTGGCGACAGTAGTGCTGTGCAGGGTCAACTGAAGACTGTGCGTCAGATCCAAGCTTCGAGTGCGGCTTTTGCCGCCATCCTTGTTGACGGATCTGTGGTGACCTGGGGCGCTGCTAATCACGGTGGTGACAGTAGTGCTGTGCAGGATCAGCTCAGCAACGTTCAGAAGATCCAAGCCAACAATGCTGCTTTTGCTGCCATTCTTAACGACGGATCTGTGGTGACCTGGGGCGCTGCTAGTCACGGTGGTGACAGCAGTGCTGTGCAGCAGCAATTGAAGAAAGTGCAGCAGGTCCAAGCCTCTGGCTTTGCTTTCGCTGCCGTTCTTGACGATGGTTCAGTGGTGACATGGGGCCGTGGTGACTGTGGCGGTGACAGCAGTGCTGTGCATTCTCAGCTGAAGAATGTTCAGCAGATTGGAGCCTCTTTTGGAGCTTTTGCAGCCATTCTTGCCGATGGATCCGTGGTGACCTGGGGTGATGCCTCGTACGGTGGCCGACCTAGTGCTGTGCAGCACATGCTGAAGAATGCTAAAGCCGACGGATCCGGACTCCGCCAGCAAGACGGCGAAAGGTGGCGCACAAGGCTTTGCCACAAGCACAGGCTATAGCAAGCACTGACGACAGTCTTCTCCAAACGACCCCAAAATAAGGGTTCAGACAGCAGACATATAAGCTTGCCGGGTGGCTATATGAATACATGTTATGTATGTATAGATGCATGTGTACATAATTGTTTGTAGTTATATATATATATATATATATATATATATGTATATATATATACATATACATATATTCACACACACACACTCACACACACACACACACAGTATGGTGTTTCTTTCTAGAGTTCCTAAAAGGGCACTTCGGGTGATGTCAGGCTAGACAGAGGCACAGAGGCTCTGAGCCGCGGGAAACGGTTTAGGGTTTAGGGTTTCCTAAATTCCAAAATCCTTAAGCCGGAAACCATAAACATACATATTCAAGTTAAACAAAAGCCTAACTTCAATGGGTCAGTTCTGACTCAAGCCTCAGGAAACTGAAAGATATGGTCTCCACGCAGCAACACCCCGAAAGGAAGCAGTATTGGGGTTTTAGGGGAACCCTAAGACAAATCTGCAAAGAAATTTGGTTTTGGGAATCTGAATCTGACTCGCTTTTTGTGTTTGGGTTTCCCACTCTTAAAAGGACTCCGATACACAGAAGGACTCGGAGTCACAAGGTGTCCATGTAGCGTCCCTGGTTGTTTGGTTTCCGTTGCGGGCCCACCCAGACCTTCCAAAACCCCTGAATTAAGGAATATACCTTAAATCATATTAAGGATCCTACTATATAATTTAAGGTATATTCCTTAATTAAGGGGTTTTGGAAGGTCTGGGCATGTCATCTTGGGCGCTTGCTCGATGGGGCGTTCTCATGTTTTCTCCTTTGTTGTAGGGTCTTTAGAGGGTTTGAGGTTTATGGAGTTTGTAATTTGATCATACTGTAGTTACGAGCTTTTGTGTAAGCAACCCTCTCTCAAAAGGGAAGCTCCGAAAAGCGCAAGAAGGCCAAGAGAAAGCGAAGCACAGCGAAAGCCAGCCAGCTGGTTCCAAGAATTATCCTGCCAAGTCCCTAAACCCCCAAACCCTGAACCCTAAACCCTAAACCCTAACCCTAAACAGCCATCCGAGAAACTCTATGCCTTGGGATAAACACTTGAAGTACCCCGCGGCGTATCCACCATAGACTCTGCATCTAATCCCTAGAACAACACGTAGCCGTATTACAACCGGCACTTGGGTTTTAGATTATCGTTGAGGTTCGGGGTGTGAGTGCTTAAGGCTACTTAAGGTTCTTAGCGTTTAGGCAGAAGGTTCTAGGTTATAGAGACATGAATGTTTAGGGTATTTTGTACTGCAGTTTGGGGGTTCGGCTTCAGGATTTCACATTTTAAGATGTGGGTGTATTTTTTAGGCATTATAGGGTACAGGGTGTAAAGCTAAAGGCTTAGATCAAAATTATTGCGGATATGCATGCTACACTGCTACACTGGTCACTGGGCCTTTGTAGTACAGACTCTTCCCAGAAAAGGGTTTGAATAAAAAGAACTTCTACAGTAGCCTGAACTAGGTCCAACGTCGGTCTTTCTTGATTAATTCATAGGGGCCCTTAGGGGGGTAGGGGGGAGGGGGCTAGGGGACTATACCTCCTTAAATAGGCCAACTTAGGTCCTTGTTATGGGCAATAAGGTCCCCTTTCCCCCCTCCCCCTACCCCGGCCCAGTTCGGGGAGGCTCAAAATTTGAAAGCGCGAGCCTCAAGTGTTTTACCGAAGTCCACCTACCAATCTACCTCCCTACCCATCTTTCCAGCTGTATATCCACCTATCAAAGTTCTAAGACCTCAACCCTAAACCCCTATCCAGTTATATCCACCTATCCTATCTATTTCTAAAACCTAAACCCCTAAACCCCCAAACCCTAAACCATACTTAAACCGCTAAATCCTGTACCTTTCCTAAGCCCAGGAGTGGCGCCGTGCACTTGGCCTCGTCTCCGCATCTCTGAGACAAAGACTCGCTGCCTCGAAGATCGCGTGCCCCTGCAATTTGGGGGCCTCTTCAGGGCCTTTGCGACCTTTACCTAGAGGCTCCATAGTAGTTCCTTTTTGGGGTTCGTATTTAGAACCCTATAATAAGGTAGTCCCAAAAAGGAGCTGCTATGGAGCCTCTAGGTAGGGTAGTCGGTTTAGGATTTTACTGCTTTCAGGGTTTCTGGTTTAGGATTTTAGGGTTTTGGGTTTTGGTGTAGGATTCGAGAGTTTGGGAAAAAAGCCTTCAAGTCCAGGGGTCCGACAGGGGCTTTGTGTTATTGTCCTAAGCGGTTTGTCGGGTCGTTTTTTGGGGGTTCCATATCGAGGCTCAGGTGTTTAAAGTTTTCCGGTGTTTTGTAAAGTCTTGAGTATGGGATTACGTAGGACTCGGTCTTGTAACCCTAAACCCCTAACCCCTAAACCCTAAACCCTACCCAAAGGCCCCAAAGTAGTTCCTTTTTGGGGTTCATATATAGAATCCTGTAGGGTAATCCCGAAAAGGAAGTACTTTGGGGCCTCTGGGTAGGGCTTACACAGTAGTCTAGCGACTTTCAGGGATTCATGGTGGAGGGCTGTTAGGATCTAGAGGCTCTGAGGACAAAGAGTTCCTCATGGCTGAGGTTAGTATAGGGGTCTTAAGAATGACCTATACTTTTTGTTTGGGGGGATTCCTTTTTTATGATTATAGTAGAATGGGCCCCAAACCTCTATACTAATTATGAAGGCCCCTATGTTGGAGATTTTGGGATCTTCGTGGCTTTGAAGGCTCCGGTCTCCTGATTGCAGGAGAGAAGGACTCTTCAAGGAGATTCCTCTTCTCGGATGTTCGGCAGCAGGGTTTACCTGAGAGGGCTTGTATAGACCGCAATGAGTGGGTACGTTGCTTTAGGGTGGCAGTCATCCAGGTTAGTATTTCCAGAACCTAAACCCGGCTACGTCATCCCGTGTTATATGTATACTCGGCCGCCAGCAGCTCCAAAGCAGACAGCATTTACAGGCTTCACCCAGAGGCCCCAAAGTAGTTCCTTTTTGGGATTACCCTTTTCGAACCCCAAAAAGGAACTACTTTGGGGCTTTCGGGCAGACACCACAGTGAGCAGTGCATGCCTACGGAAATAGCGAGAAATCACGAAACACCCCCGAAACCTCAAGACAGGATCAGCCCGAGATGGGAGTGTCCCAAGGATAGGGATCCTTACTATAGCACCCTAAATAGTAAGATCCTTATTATAAGGCCCCCAAAATAAGGTACCCTTTTCAAAGGGGAAAAGGAGAGAGACCCTTAATGGGGACCCCTACCCTATAATGGGTATATAATGGCTCTATTAAGGGTATATACCCAGGGGTCCTTATTAAGGGTCCCTCCTTTTACCCTTGGACCCGAATTTTCGGAAGTTCCCAGGTACAGTGCAGCCATCAGCGCCTGTGAAAAGGCAGCAGAGTGGCGCTCTGCATTGCAACTGCTCTTCGACATGGACTCTTCGAGGCCCTACCTGAAGTTCTGAGCAATGTTAGGGTTTTAGAGTTTAGGGTTTTAGGGTTATAGGGTTTAGAGTTATAGGGCTCAGGGTTTAGGGTTTAGGGTAAACCCTTGATGAATACACCCCACTTCCCCTAATTGATGATGATGTTGACGGCGATGCATGACGATGCTGATTATCCTTATGGAGGTCCTAGTACCAAGACCCTTCAAGGGGAGGCTTAATGCATCGGGGGATATATTCTTGTAGTAGTTGAGACTTGCAAGTAGGTCTACAAGCACATGTAGCTAGGGCGGCAGGCTCATACCCAGGGCTTTGCGGGTATAGGGTGACAAGGATTCCCTATCCCAATTATTAAGGCCGCATCGGGACCTTGAACCTTGCCAACTTTTAGCCCTTACCACTCTACTTCTGACTCTAGACCTTGAACTCATGAACTTTTTATAGTATGTGCAACCCGAAAGCCACGAACCCCACCGGCAGGCTTCAGTGCGATGTGATCACCTACAATGCAGCCATCAGTGCTTGCGAGAAGGCCGGTCGATGGCAGCAGGCTCTGTGGCCCCTTGGCACATCTGTGGAACAGCGGTTTAGGGTGTAGGGTAATGCTAGGGTCTGTTAAGGGTTCTGTCAGGGAACGCTTTGGTGTCGGATTTGGCAGTTCCTGAAAGAAGCAGATCCTGGGAAAGAGCCAAGGTAGTAGGATCCTTGTTTCAACAGGCTCCATAGTAGTTCATATTTAGAATCCTGTAAGGTAATCCCAACAAGGAACTTCTATGGAGCCTTTGGGTAAGCTACCCCTTATTCTGAAGCTCAAGTTTTTGTTGCATTGTTTCGTGGCGGAAGCAAGGGTCCACGGGATGGTTTCGGTGTCGGACTGAGGGTATCATTGTATGATATAGGGGCTTAAATAATTACCGATAGTATTTGGTGGTTCCTTATTGTAAATATGGTATAATTGGCCCCAAGCCCCTTTCCCAATTACTAAGGCCCCTACACTATCATGGTATACCCGCTCCCCAACCCTGATTAAGGGGTTCTATATCAAGGCCTCTTGCTTGCTTGATGCTCCCAGACCTTCCAAAATCCCTTTATTAAGGAATATACCTTAAATCATATTAAGGATCCTACTATAATTTAAGGTATATTCCTTAATTAAGGGGTTTTTGAAGGTCTGGGCTTGTAGTATCAGGTCTCGAGTTCAAGGTGGAGGCTGTTTGCTTCAGAGTGCAGGGCTTGAGGGCTTCGGTGTTGGGCGCTTATTTCGCTGACGTCCTTCGGGTTCAGGTTTGATGAACTTTAACGGTTTAGGGTTTAGGGTTCCCTAAACCCTAAACCCTAAACCACTGATGAGGTTGATGGCAGAAGCACACGATAGCCAACTACAGCTCGACGTCATCACATTCAACTCTGCCATCAGCGCCTGTGAGCGGGCCATTGCAGAGGCATCACGAGAACCACTCGGCTGACCCGTCCCTAGGGCTCCATTTGGGAGTTTCCGAAAATAGGGGACCCTAATATAGCACCTTAAATAGTAGGGTCCTTATTATAGGGATCCCATATAAGTTACCCCTTTCAAAGGGGAAAAGGAGAGACCCTTAATGGGGACCCCTACCCTATAATGGGTATATAATTAATGGCTCTATTAAGGCTATATACCTAGGGGTCCTTATTAAGGGTCCCTCCTTTTACCCTTGGACCCGAATTCGGTACCCCTAATTCTCGGAAACTCCCATTTAGCTTAGAAGCCCGCCAGGCCCTGGTGTCCTAGTCTCCGGATCCTCATGCCCTCCTCATGGTCTCCTGGGGTAATTTGCCGGCAGTTTCGGGTTTAGGGTTTAGTAGGGTTAGGGTTTAGGGTTTCGGGTTTCGGGTTTAGGGTTAGGGTTTAGGGTTTAGGGTGGTATCCTGGTGGTCTTGTGGTGATCTCCTCATCGTCTCCTCGTGGTCCTGGTCGTCCTGAAGTCGTGGTGCTCGTCTTGGTGCTCCTGCCGGTCAACTCGTGTTGGCATGGTCGTTGTGGTGTTAGATTAGATAGTTGGTTGTGGAGCTACGCTGGCATAGTCTATGCTTATGCACTGGGTCAGCAAGGAATTTCAAACCAAGACCCGATTGAATCGGGTCTTGGTTTGAAAAGACCAGTTACGAGTGTATGAAAGGCCGAAAACAGGGCCACAAAACATCCACACCAGAGCTTCAGCCTCCTCGGCCGATACGTTCTATCCCTAGAATCCACTGACTGTAGAAACTGCCCTTCTTGATGCATTAGAATTAGGGTTTAGGGGTTTGGGGTTTAGGGGTTTGCCCTTTAGAATATAGAGAGCGGAGGTTACTTATCAGGGATCTACATTCAGGCCTGAACCTACAAGCTTTTGGGCCCTAAGCCGAACCCCCTAAACCCTAAAGTCCCTAGACCATGAAACCCAACGGGCCTCTGAATACCTGTAGACGAAAAACCCTACCTTTTCCGGCTCCATAATATCCTTTCTGCATATCAGTTCTGCAAAATGGTAGGGCTTTCTTTGCCACAGGATGAACCGTAGTCGGGATCAGCAGCACGGCACCCTTATGAACTGAGGGATGATATTGGATACATACCCTAAACCCCAAACTTGCAATTATAAGTAAGGGATTTTGGAGTCTATATCAGGGTCTCTTGACCGCGCAGTTCGATGGCATAGCCTGCACGGAGAAAAAGCAAGCCCGCTGGCCTGTTCCCGTTCAGGGTTTAGGGTTTAGAGATTTGAGGGTTTACCCAGAGGCCCCAAAGTAGTTCCTTTTTGAGGTTCATACACAGAATCCTATAAGGTAATCCCAAAAAGGAACTACTATGGGGCCTCTGGGTAGAGTTTAGGGAGTAGCCTTGGAGGAAGGGTGTTTAATTTTCCGGCTCGCTGTGCTTATAGCATCTAATAGCTCCTTTACATCAACACGTTTGAGCTCTCTAGGTCCGGCCCATGGAATCTGCGGAGAAGTTCGATTTCTGAGCCCCCAAGGGTCCAAGTAATGGTATAGTATATACTTGCGGGGCCCAAATACCTGTTAAGTACCTACTACTGTTGATGGACGAAATCCTGCATGACCCTAGGGACTCTAAACAATGGGAACTATGGTATATTCCTTATAAAGAGTAATGCAGGATTTTGTCCATCAGCAGTATGACTATTATGGTACTTGGACCCTTTGCTAAACCCTGGGACCCTACACCCTAAAGCATCAGCTCAGACCCCAGCTTAGGGGTACTTAGAAAAACTTTTTAAGTTTTGGTTGTCATAATCCCTAAGAAACAGCCAAATTTGAAATGTTGGCTAGGGTTCTAAGTTCAGTATAGTTAAAGACACTGCCATACACGCTCCTGAAGACTCAGCCGTCGACATGAATACCTAAACCCCCAAAAGTAGGTAAAATAATGGCCCAATACCTGCAAAAGGCTACTATTCTACACACTTTTGGGGTCCAGGTAACACTTTAGCCAAAAAACATAAAGCCCCAAGGTCAGCCGTACACCCATCGGAGGTAGAGTTGTCAGTTCTGGGTGGTGGCAGGCGACTGGATAGTTGGTCTGTGGGCTTTGACGTAGCTGTTGGGGCTTTTAGGTCTTGGTGGATTATGCCTTTAGGCGAAGGATATCGTGATTCCATCGTTGTGTGATCCTAAACCACTAAAGATCCTAAACCCCAAACCCTGTACATAAAACGAGCCTGCCTCCCTCAAAGCCCGGAATCCTGGCAAGTGCATTCGGAGCAGCAACTATGGACGCCAGAAGGCATGGGCCTACGTCAATAGGCCCTGAGATATTCCTTGCAACCAGAGACTAGCCTCGACCTTCCTATTCCTTCCTGAACCTAACACAGGGGGTTGGAACTGAGTTTGGGGGGATAATTGGTTAGGCCCCTCTGTTACACCTTTTTTGGGAAATGGAAGGCCACCTAGAAGACCATAGCCCTAAAATAGTCTACCATGTTGAGGGCTTAGGGTTTAGGGGTTTAGGAGTTGAGGGTGGTACCCTTTACTTACCCTTAGAAGAGCATTACAGACAGCCTCCTGTCCTGGGCGCTTCGCACGAACACTATCCAGTTCTTTTGCCCCCGAGACGCTTCTGGTTGGAACCCCGCCTCAAGGGTCCATGTACCCAAAATAGATTACTGGCCGAACGTACTTGTACAGGGACTACTTCAATGCCAAACTATGTAACCACTAGATTGATACATGGACCCTTGGGCCCATAGCTTGTGCCACAATGTTTTGGTTGTGAGTTCTTCCAAGCAAGGTCGACAGCTGGGGGCGCTCTCAGAGTCCGGCGACGAAGATGAAGAACAGAAGGTCGCGTTTCGTTCTTCAGGTGTCTTTTCCTTGGGTTTAGGGTTTCGGGTTTAGTGGTTAGGATATGCCCGTGGTTGGCCAACGCCATAGCGGTCGAAAGTGCCAGTCCTGGTCCAAGCTCGCAGCATTTGTCCAGCATGCATGCGCAGAGTAGCAGGGCTGGGTCTTGCAGAAAGTCAGTGCCGAGCCTTGCAAGCCCAAGTGGAGAGAACTCAACCCCACGGCCCTGTCCTCCCAGATGGGTATGGGAGTGTGCGACAATTAGGGGTACCTTATTTGGGGTCCTAAGGGTCCTTCTATTTAGGGTACTATATTAGCGTCCCCTCTTTTCGGAAATTCCCAGATAGGTTGAGGTTCCTGGTGTTTCACTACAGAGGCGCAAAAAGGTTTGTTTTGGGATGATGGCGTTGAGGTCTCGAGGTGGTTTAGGACCCTAAACTCCAGGACTTAGGTCGGAGTTTAAGGTGCAGGGTACGGGGCGTGGGTGGAGGGGCCATTTCTTCGGGTGTTGGGATATATTTCATCCCTGTGAGGCTTGCTTAGGGCTTTGCTTTTTTGTTCCAGTGTTAGAGTTGCATTGTAAGGTTTCCTATGAGGGCTCCGATACGGGTTCTTTTAAGGCTTCCGTGGAGGCAATCTAGAGCGCTTTGTGGTTCAAGGATGCGGGCAGAGATGAGAGGCTGTGGGGCCTAGACGTAAAGGATGCGGTTTAGGGCGATTGGGGCCCCTATCGATAGCTTCCTTATAGTGTATACCCCACAACAAGATTCGATTTATTTTATGCAAGGGCTTTGGATTTCGGATGGGGTGAGGGGCGTTGGGATCGGCTTAAGGTGCGGGTAGAGCACTTGAAGGTTGGGCTTTTGAGGATAAACAAGTTTGCGGCTCGGGCACGATGGCCATCTCAGCTCCATGGATGTAATTGCGAAGGGTGGGGGAAGGGGGGGAGGGTGACAAGGTACCCTAAACCGTAAACCCCTTCTATCATCCTTATAACTCCCTCGCCAAACGCATGGAATCAGCCAGAAACGCCAAACCCCCAACCCTAAACTTAAATACCCGAGAGCTCAATCCAAGGTCAAATAAGGAGGATGCCTTGACTTGGCGTTATGCTGGTTGGATCTTAGGACTTTAACTTTTGGGGTTTCTATATAAACCATAATAAGGAGGCTAAAAGTTTAACTTTTTGGAGGGGTTCAGAAAGCAGCCAAGTTGAATCACAGAGAGATCCTTCGTTAAACGATGTTTCGGTGCTTTGGGGATGCAGGCCCGATCCCAACGGATGTGGGAGTTTGCCAAAATGGGAGACCCTAGTATAGTTTCAAATAGTAGGATCCTTATTAGAAGAACCCCCAAATAAGGTACCCCTATTATCGGAAACCCCCATGTTGCCCAAAAGCCCCCACCTTTGACGAAGCTCCTCAACCGGAAGCCTCTCACTTTTTGCCACAGGCACAAGCCGAGCGCGAGGAAAGGATCATGAGATTCTGGCCAGAAGCCCGAGCCCTCAGATATTATGCAATTCTAAAACAAGTGCCCGAATGCACTTCTCATTGGTCCTAAAAGTCCTGATGTACTTGGACTGCGGTGTACCCCAAAGCCCTCGTCAAGCACATTAAGACCTTCATGTATCCTCCAGGGTGAGGATGGCGAGTTCTGGTTCAAGGTCTGGGGATCTACAGTAGAAGCCCAAAAGTTTGAAACCCGATAGCCTCAAGCCTTAAGAGTAATGTACAGGGGATCCCAGCACTATTTGGCCTTAATCCGGTTTCCCACTTTAAGGGGTTTACTGTACCAGGGTTTGGGAATCGGTTCTGCTGGTGGCCTGGCTAATGTGGGTCCAGGCAGGTGATGTTCGAAGCGCTGCCCGGCTGATGCTCATGATGTGGGGCATGCTGTGGGCGTTGATTGAAGTGCGGCACAGCTGATGCTCATGATGCGGCTTGCAGTGGGCCCAATTGAAAGTGTATCCCAGCTGATCTGCTGATGTGGGTCGGGGTGGGTGATGGTTGAAGCGTTGCGCAGCTGATGCTCATGATGCGGGTCAGCGGCGGGTGTTGGCTGAAGCGCCGCCCAGCTGATGCTGGTGATGCGGCCTGCAGCGGTTATTTGGTTGAAAAAAAAACAAGCGCCGCCAAGCTGATGC